AGTATAAGATTCTCTATACTAAAAACGTATACTATGTTTAACGTATTTTTTTTCAGAATATAGATTCTCTATATTCTGAAAAAAAATAACCTCTAGGTTATTTTTTTTCAGTGAACTTACATAAAATGTATTTTTTTTATAAGTAAATAAATCAAATATCCGAGCTAAAAAGCAGCTTTCAGGAAGACTGTACTTATAATCGAAATTTTGTTATTATAAGTATAACAAATTATTATGGCTAAGAAATAATAAATATTTTCCGATAAAATATAAGACCATTTTCAATTAAAAACAGGTTAATATTAACAAAACGTATAGAAATGCGGCTCTCTATATTGCGACTCATTTTACACAATTTCAAAATAATTGTTATATATAGCCTTAAAATTATCTTACATTTTGTATATGATATTAAATTTTTAAATAAAATACGAGTAAGAAAATGTTTTTTATGTATGATTGAAATTGGTAAAATAAAAAAAAGGAATTTGTTAAGCATAACTAAGAATGACTAATTTACAGTGACTCATATAACATCAACTTTCTTTTATATGGTAAGTAAGTAAATATGATTAACACACTTAAAGTTTTATAATATATTTTAGTAAGTAAACTTGTAATCACAAAACAATAAACATAATATATGCTCATTTTGTCAGTATAACAATTTTTAACGATTTTTTACTGCAATACTCAATAAAATTCTACTTAAAAAAGAGTGACCGCTTGTTGCAAAATAATACAAAAAAAAAACATTTACAATGCTCAAAAAACAAATAATTTTTTTCTGTTTTACTCATTTCTAATTCACCTTGAAAAATAATCTTAGAAAAAAATTATAAGTAAGTATTTGAGTTTCTATTTGCAATATGAATAAATAATTTTTATAATGCTCTTTTTAAGTTGATTTGTATACCAAATCTACATCTACATTACTAATGTACTTATGTATACGTACAAGACACATTATTATTTTAACCAATTTCCGATTAGTTTCTTATAAGAGTGTGAAAATTATTTGTTTTCTTCCCATATTACTATTACTATTATTATTATTAGTTTGTTTGTAAGAAAGTTGAAAAATAATAACGCAACAATAAAATTATCATCCTCTTTTTTGCATATATACTTATTAACTTTTATTTTTTTTTAAAACAGTAGGTTTGTATATATATATGAGTTTATTTCAAAGTTCGTCGTATCACCTATAACGTAAGTAAACAAAACTACATAAAATATTCAAGAAACGCGTTTAAGAAAAGATAGAAGAGGAAAAAATTTTTTACAACAAAATATGCAATAATTTACGTGCCACCACGAATTTCCTTTACTTTCAATACCTACAAATAAATGAGGCACGTTATATATGTCAGTGATGGTCAACGTATATGAGTACAACGTATACACAAATATGGAATGATACGAAGAAATCGATTTTTTTTTTTATTTTCCAAATTTAAAATTGGAGAACTGTAATTTATATAACAGAAATAATGTTGTACTTATATAAATACTAAAAAACTGTTATAATTTCATAAAAACATTTAATTATAAATTGTCGGTGAGTTGGGGTAGGCTTTGGTTTAAATGTAAAGAAGAAAGTAAGTATTAAGTATTTATTTCTTTATAAAATTGGTGTAAGAATAGTTTATTATTTACCTAATTGTGGGTACCATTGAGAATATAAGGGTATTCAAGAACTTATTTATGATTACAGATGTACGCAGAAATTGATTTATTATACCTATATGACGGGGATCTTGGAGTGTAAAAATTTTGATCTTTTAAAAATAAAATATTTACACTTTGTTAATAATGAGTATTAATTTGTCATACGGTAAAAGTACATACTTTTATATATATAAAAAATAAAAACTAAAATTATCAGATAAAAAAATTTATTCAATTCTGTCACTATTGTTATATAAACACTTGCCATTTTATGTTTACCATTTCTGACATTAAATAAATAAGTATGTATACATTTTGTCAGTAAGTATAATCTACATAATGTCCATTATTATAACAAGAATATAAAATAAGGGAAAATAAAATAGATTGAGAGTGAAATTTTATTCTCGTTTTTTTTTTTTTTGTGTGTTTCTACCTTACCATATATGATAAAACTTTGATAGGTAAGTATCAATTGAAATATATTTTTCTTTTCTCCTTTTTTTATCTTTTTAAGAGGATATAGAACACTGTGCACGTATTTTTATAAAATGAAAAAAAAAAAAAAAAAAACACATTAACGTCTTAATAACATATTTTACCTACTTATGTAGTATAACAGAATTACATTAAATTTGAACATACAAGGTATGTTCATTTATATATGCATAGGCATATATATATATATATATATATGTTCTTATATATTTTACATGTTTTTGTATGAAAAGGTACATTAATTGTGTATGTTGTACGCATAAAAAATTGATACAGTGAAATTCAATATGAGTATTATTTACATACATACAGTACATACATATATACAGTAGATCTCAAAATTATCATTTGTGCCTAGATTTTTTTATTCATAGAACTTGTATTGTAGACTTTTTTAAAATTATGAGGAATCAGTTTTGAACGACATTAGAAATAGCAGATTTTAAAAGTGTTTTAGTATTTGCAATATTACAAATATCGTAATAAATGCGTTAAACTAAACTTATTGTTATTAAGAAACATTAAATTTCTGCAAAAGTTAGGGACACAGTTCTTATACGAAATACGGAATAGAATAATATTACAAGAATAAATTCATGAAAACTGTAACTATGCTACTTATTGAAATTACTTAATTGCCTTAAATCATTTTATCACATTTCTATAAGAATTTCCAAAAAATTGTATACATATTCAATTCATTCAATTTTGTATTGTTTATACACGGCAACCTTCTTATAGATAAGTCTCAAATTTAAACAGTTAATATAGTATTATCGAATTTTTAAATTTTTACTTCTTAAGAACCTGAAGAAAGAAATTTTAATTACGTTAATTAATAATTGTTAATTAGTAATTGTTCATTTATCCAAATGCATGTAATTAACACCCTTGACAATGACATTTGATCTTTATGATACTAAAAATAATTTTATAAAATTATCTTTTCAAAATTCCTCTAGAATTTTTTGTAAAATTAAATCATAATGAGAAATTCCAGTAGAACATTTTCATTATTATAAGTTATAACCCAACTACTGAAATTAGACTTAAAATTATTAAGAGAAATGTGTTATTTTGCAAAATAAGAGTGTGATCGATTAAATTTATATTATTAATTTTATTATAAAATTTTATATAATATTTGTTTCAAATTTTTATAATAATAGATGACGAATATTTAATATTCATACCCATTATTGTAAAAGAATAATAAGAAAATTTAGATTTTTTTTTTAAGTACCTACATCAAAAATTCATACGCACAAATAATTTGAGAGACTTAAAGGAAATGAGATCGACAATTTATCCATATTTATATTATCTTTTATAGCGTGTAATACCTACATACCTACATCCTACATAAGTATTGTGTATTTATTAAAAACCATTATAAAAATTACAGTAAGTATGAATGTATGTATGGAGCTTATGTACATTAAATAATTGCAAAAAGGAGAAAATATGTAGGTACCTACCTATAAGTACCTACGTGAAGGTAGAAAAAGAAAAAATAAGAATAAATGAAAATATTTTCATTGAGAAAAATATTATCAAATTTTCTTATAAAAAAAATAATAATAAAAAAAACCAGAATGTTTTTTTTTTTCTTTTTTTCCCATTTATGAGATTTTCCTTTTTAATTTTCACCCAGTAATCATAAGAAAAATAAAAGTAGAAAAAATTCGAAAACGGGTAGAAAAGATTGATATTTTAGCGTATATAAATATTCTGTACACATATGTACATAATTATGTACCTATATACATACTTATATACATAGAGTACATCTAATTATTTACATAAATTTATTAAGTATTTTCATATAGGTAAAGTAATCGGAACATTTTTATTTAATGTAATTAGAAAATAAAATGTTCTATCAGTCAGAATAAAATATTTTTTCTATTTTAAATTCTAAACGAAATGTACACATTATGTACATTTGTATATAAGTACTTACTTAATTTTTAAATTTTATGTGATAAGTAAAATACCTACATACATACATACATACATACAATATATATACACAAATATCTATTTTTATATAATTTCGCAAAACAAATTTACTATTTATAAATAATGAGGTATACGTAATAATTATATTTATATCATATACATATTTACATTCCTTCATATTTATATATTTTTAGTCTAGGAAAAAACAAAAGAGAGACTAAAATAGCTACATACATATTTTTTTTTTGTTTTCTTCTTCATTGTATTTAGGTGGAGCAGGTAGAATGTGGGTAAGTATACCTATTTAATTTGGAAAATATTAAATAAAAAAAACCGCGGCTGGTTCTATTCATTCCACCTTATAATAGTCTATCTATATATGTATATATGTATACATAACTAAAATTCTGAATAGATTTTGTTTTTACTTTCATATTACATTCATAAAATATAAAGAATATTTATGAGACAGTATATTGTTATATGTATACATGCATATGTAATCATGGACCATTCATTTACTGTCGCTTCATGTATCTACAGACATAAAGGTAATCATCATCATCCACAAAAACAGGTATAGAGAATAATAATTCACTATACGCAGTAATATCAAATGCTCAATGGAAATTTTTTTTGGGATAATCTACTTAATAGTTTTGGAGGGTTGCTGTTGTTTGGTTAACCAATAGGGAATGAATTATTATGAATTTAATTTAAATGAAAATTTATTTTTCCAGTTTTCTTTTTGTTTTTTTCACCACAATAAAAATATCGTTAATTAAATGAACTGATAAGAAATTTTTTGTTTTTGATTACAATGACATAATATAGAACAAAGTAATAAAAAAAATTTTTTTATCACTTACCTTCATAACAAGTTCAAATGGATACTTATATACCCTGACGGGACTCTGATATTTTTGCACCATTATTATCAATTTCCCCTTCTGTTTTTATTCACTAAATTTTTATTATTATTATTATTTGCTTGCAGAAAAATCTGTAATTCTTGTATATTAATTTTCGCAAAGAAAAAAAAAAATAAAAGTAAAAAAAAACTGAAAATAAAAATCAAAGTTATCAAAGTTAATTGCCTTCTTTTTTTGTTGTTGTTGCTTTTTTTTAACAAATATTTTGTGCAAAATTTTAAACAAAATCAAATAATTTTTATTATTTTTTCTTATTCACTTTTAGATTTTATTTACTTTTTTTTTGGGAATTGTGTGCAATTCTACATAAAAATTTTGCAAAAAAAAAATTTAATCAAAAAACCTTGATTTTTCTTTTCCTCCTTTTAATTAAATTGTTGTGTTTTTTTGGTTTTTTAGTTGATGTTTTTGGTGTTCATTCATTATAAATTTTTTTCATTTTTTTTTTCACCTTTTTTTCAGTATGTACTACAATATTTTTTTTCTTTATTTTGTAATTTTGATTTTGAAACCACCTCAAATTATAAAAAATTTTGCATTTTTTTTTCTCTCTCCAAAATATTTTCTTCTTTTCTATTATTTGGTAAAAGGAAAAAAACAACTATTTAAACATTTTTATTATTTCAATTTTTTTTATATATGTTTTATTTAAAGGAAATATTAAAAATTTTTCTTTAATATTTTAATTATTTTCCACAAAAAAAAATCCCAAGTGAAACTTTTTTTTAATGCCGAATTTTATTTTCGTCGAACACAGCGAGAAAAATTTACAACTTATCAGCTTGGAAGGAAAAAATTAATTAAAAGAATTGTCAAAAATTTATTTTCTTCTTTTGCTTTTTTTTCTCTTTCTTCAACTTCAAGCTTTGCCAGTCTATCAGAATATATATGAGTCGACGCGGCGTTTTAAAAAAATTCTTTAGTATTGTGAATAGTTTTTTTTTTAATAATTGTGAATTAATAGGGTTGGATAATATTTGAGTTGTAAATAATTTTTATTGAATAATATAATTGTGAATTTGGAAAAAAATTAGAATGGAAATCACAGTATGTAATTTTTGTATTTACACATTTCGAAATTTTAGTTTATAAATTTGAGAAGAAAAAAAAAGGAAAAATTAAAGCTTTGAGTGAATATGAATTTTTTTTTTTAATTTTAATTTAATAGAAATTTATATAATTTTAATATAATAGCAATTAACTTCAAAATGTTTCTTTGCAAGACTTTTTTGATATGGTTGTTGTCTTTGATTAAATTGCCTTGAAAAGAATTAATGCAACACACAATTTTCTTGTTTTTTAAAATTTGAAAGTGTCAAAAAAAAATTGTCAAATTCCTGGTTTTATTATACTAATTCATATACATATGTAAATTAAAACAATGTAAAAGTTTCCAATAAGTTTAAATATGAGTTATTACTAAACTATTGCTATTGTGATGGCCGATCTCAGATCTCTTTTACAGATTAATCTCTTCTTTTACAGATTTTCATGTAAAAGAAGAGATTAGTTTATTGGCTGCCGTATATTTTATTTTTCACTTGAAACGCAACAATGTATAACTTTGGTATGTCATCGAAATATAATATGTGGGTTATATTGTATGAAAACGAAGTAAGGAAGATTTTCTTTCAGTTACTTAGAAAATCAAAATTTTTAAAACCTGGTTAACTGAATATGCATGATTAATTTATTTTGATTTTTTTTCGAAAACCAAAAAACTTTTGCTTTTTAAATTTTTTTTTAGAATTTATGACCGTATTTTTAATCTATTTCTGCTTTGACGTTTTTTTTTTAAGTTTAATAAATTTAATTAACAATTATTGTATTTAAGGTAGGGGTGATATACGCTATTTTGACTGTTTTCTTTTATTCTGTCAAAGGATTGAAATCAAATATCGAGTTCAGTTAAAGTTCCAGATTTCGTTTGAAGATTTTGTACATAATGTATGTTTGTAAATATGTTTGTGCTAAGTTCAAAGTTGTAATAATAAACGAAAACATAAAATTTCTTCCCGTACCGTAGAATTTAAAACATTAATAGAATAGGAATTTTTAACTTTAAAAATCTAAAATTTCCTTTATATGTTTTTTATTTTTTAGTTATTCCTTTCCTTAGTTTCAATCAAATTAACTAGTGACAGAATTGTACAGCAATTTAAAATGTATGACATGAAAATTACTTTGATATTGAATTTTATTTTTATTTTTCGAAAATTCCAAAGTTTGTATGTTTCAGTTGCATATTAAACAAATCTTTTCCATTTTTATAGTTCAATTTGATTTAGTATATTTTAATATCTGACCGAAGTAATGGTAACAAATTTGAATTGTAAGGATTATTTAAAGTAAAGATTTTCCTAATTTGCCTTTTGGGCATACTGCTTCATTCTTTCTTCTATTTCTGGTCTAAAATGCCTTATTAAACCTAAAAACAGAAATGAATTATATAAAAAAAAACTAATGTCGTAAAATTTACCTTGTACAGGCCATGCTGCACCGTCTCCTAAAGCGCAAATAGTATGACCCTCAATTTGTTTAGAAATTTCCCAAAGCATATCGATTTCAGCTGGTTGAGCATTGCCAGTGACAAACCTAAAAAATTTGATTTAAAATAGTAATTTAACAAGTTAACATTTTTAAATATATACATATTACCTAGCCATAATTTTGTTCATCCAACCAATTCCTTCACGACATGGTGTGCACTGGCCACAACTTTCGTGCTTATAAAACATAATCAATCTCCAAATTGCTTTAATAATATCTGTTGATTTATCCATTACTATTACAGCAGCTGTTCCTAAAGAAGTTTGCGCGGCAATCAAGCCATCAAAATCCATTAACACATCATCACAAACATGTTTTGGAATCACAGGAGTTGATGAACCACCAGGGATTACACCAAGTAAATTATCCCAACCCCCAATTACACCACCTGCGTGTCTTTCGATCAATTCCTTTAATGGTATTGACATTTCTTCTTCCACTGTGCATGGTGTATTTACATGTCCAGATATATTAAATAATTTTGTACCAGAATTACGAGTACGACCAAAGCTAGCAAACCACACGCCTCCTCGTCGACAAATTGTTGGTGCTACTGCAACGGTTTCAACATTTGTAACAGTAGTAGGGCAGCCAAAAACACCAACATCAGCGGGGAATGGTGGTTTTAGACGCGGTTTTCCTTGCTTTCCTTCTAAAGACTCAATTAAAGCTGTTTCTTCTCCACATATGTAAGCGCCAGCACCACGATGCATGAAAACATCAAAGTCGTATCCAGATCCGCATGCATTTTTACCAATCAAACCAGCTTGATAAGCTTCTGCAATTGCTAACTGCATATTTGATGCTTCATTATAAAATTCTCCACGAATATAAATGTAAGCAGCTTGTGCTCCCATTGCTCTTCCAGCAATTAAACATCCTTCAATTAATTTGTGGGGATCGTGCCGCATAATTTCACGATCTTTGCATGTTCCTGGTTCACCTTCATCTGCATTTACAACTAAGTATTTTGGTCTGCCGTCTGACGGTTTATTCATGAACGACCATTTCATTCCACTTGGAAAACCAGCGCCACCACGTCCACGTAAACCAGATGTTTTGATTTCATTAATAATCCAGTCAGGACCTTTCAAGACAATTTCCTTTGTTTTATACCAATCACCACGTTTAACTGCTCCTTTTAAACGCCAGTCGTGACGACCGTATAAATTTGTAAATATGCGATCTTCATCAGCTAAAGGACCGAATTTCGTTTTTGTCTGTGGTGGTGGAGTTCCTGGAGGTGGTGGCCCTTGAGTACTATTGAAACGTGCAATGTTGCCCCCAAAAATTGCAATCCAGTTAGCTAAAATTTGGAAATATTCAAAATTATTTTTGATTTTTAATATTTAATAAATCTTAGATATAACAAATTATAAATCTGATTTCAGGCACTTGTGAAATTCTTTTGCAATTATTAAATTAATTATAGTCTTAATGAAAAGTGAATATACGTCAGTAAAATTGTGTGGTTAAATTACATAATAAATGAATTTATGAAAAATTTACTACAATGTAATGAATAAGAATTGTATATCAGTGTTCTATCTAGCAAAAATTTGATTTTAATGTGCAAATTATATAACTTGTTCTACTTACCATTGCATTGTTTTGGTGCAACACTAAATCGAGCTAATGCTCCAGCCATCTTTCAAATACAATACAGCTTATTATTTTTGTTAAAAAAATTTATATTTTCTTTTTTGACAACTGTTTGATAAACGTCAGAAAAATGGTTGCGGCTGTCATTCTATGTCATATGACGTTACTTCAAAGAAAATTATTGTGTTTCTCAAACTTAAATTTAATATTCTGCATGGTTTTTGGAAGATTTGAGACTTCTTGAAGCGAAGTTTGCAGTTAGCGCTACAGTTTCATCATCTCTTTTTAAATGTACTTTATAAAGTATTTTGTTTTCAATTATTATTCTAAGAAAGTTCTGTCACAGATTTTGCAGAAAAAAAAATTATTGTTGATTGTCGTTTTATTGTAGCTGCTTGTTTGTAGCTCTGAGTATATAAGATCGGAGATGGTAAGAGCTGCAAATATGATCTCAACCTACAAACTCTTAATAAATTTCTTAACCTATATTTAATGATTTTTCTATATATACATATGTTATAATGATACCAATTTTCTTTCACGTTATTATGTTAAATCAATCTCTGAAGTTTTTTACACTTTCATATATATAAACCCTTTTAAATATTAGAAAAATATTTGTCATGTATAATATCATGCAAATATTTAAAAGCTTTTAATTGCAATGAAATTCAACAATATTATTTGTACATATGTATGTATTTGTTTTATTCGAGATTTTTGATTTTATTGAAGCGTGTTTATTCAGAAACGACAACTTTTTCTAAAGCGAAGTTTGCGCGAAATTGCTTCAAGTAATGCTATGCCTATAATATATAATGCCTCTAAAAAAAATTATTGAAAAATCTGTTTGAATTTAAAACAAACTTTCCATTTGGTTAAATCCACGTATGTATAGCAATGTTTCTATACTTCAATAAAGAACTTAATCATGTTATGTGATCACGTCTGTACTACGTAGTCGTGTACAATTAAGTATTTCCGCAGTATTTACATGTGTACGAATTTGAGGGAGTTATAAATTTGACACTACCTCTTAATATGTATCACACACAATTCCGCACATACCCTCACTCATATTTTGTTTATAACACTCAGGTACACAAGGCGCCGTACGGTTTTGAATTTTAAGTTTTGTTTTCATTTCATTTTAATTTTTAGTTTTTAAAGTTTGATTGAGATAACAGGTGCATGAGGAAGTATAATTTTAAGCAGGTAAATGTGCCTAAACAAGCAATAAAACTAAAGGTCCAAATGGCTTGTTTAATTGTATTAACTAGAAAAGTGTGTGTAATGATGAAATTTTTTATGCTTGTTGTACCTGTTCATTCATAAATATTTTCAATGAATAAGGCTTCAACATTTTGGAAATGTAGTTCAAAAAGGTATTTCGTGGTGAAAAGATCGTCTTTCGTGGATGTATTATTTATCATAATTTAATTATTAAAAATGTGCAAAATGCAAGTAAATATAATTGCGATATATATTTTAATTATCGTGCAACAAGGGGTTATTCATTCGCAGATTATGCCAATATCTCCATGTCCCAACTATTTTCAATATCGTTTTGATGGACAACATTGGTTTGGAAGATTAAGAATTGAAAATCCATTAAGTAATGATCCACTGCACTTGAAGGTTACACTCTCAGTGCGTGGAAATCCACTTACAAATTATTTGGGAGAAATAGAATTACTGACAAGAGGACGACCCGCCGATGAATATTCTATGGTATTCTATAATGTTAAATTTCCACTAACTAGTATTCCACCCAGGCTGATAAAAATTAGTGCCAATAATCGTACTATTTGTTTTGGAACACAGGATTTTGGGGGTTTAGTAACACTTATACATTTAGAACATACAAGAGAATTTTCGTATTTATCAAAAGGCGAAATATCTCAATTAGATGATTCTTCAAATTATCAGGAGGCTACTAGAAAAGATTTAGAAAATATATCGAGAGAAAATCATTCAGTTCTAAAGAAATTATATGAGACCTGTGGAAAAATGAGTAGAAATTTAGAAAGAAATAACAAGTACAAAAATGGTGAACTTATTAGAGGTTCATGGCCTTGGTTAGCAGCAATATATGTTAATAATTATACTTCATTAACCTACATTTGTGGTGGAACAATAATTTCAAAAAATATTGTACTAACAGCTGCCCATTGTTTTCACATTTATCAAAAGAAATACAATGCAAATGAAGTTCTAGTATTTCTAGGGCGACATAATTTGCAAAATTGGAATGAAGACGGTTCGAGTATATCTACAATTGATAATATTTTTATACATCCTGATTATGATAATAATTTAAGTTCATATGACGCTGATATTGCTGTTGTAATATTGAAGAATTCAATAAAATTCGGGCAATATATACGACCGGCATGTTTGTGGAATGATAGTGAGGAATTTGAATATACTGAAAATGCAAGAGGTACATTAATTGGATGGGGATATAATGATTTTAATATTTTATCATCTTTACCGAAAAAATTAGAAAATTATATTGTTACAAATTCTAAATGCATAAAGGATAATAAAAGATATAGAAATTTAATATCATCAAGAACATTTTGTGCTGGTGGAGATTTACCTTGTGCTGGTCATTCTGGTGGTGGTTTAATGTTATATAAAAATGAAAGATGGCGACTAAAGGGCATTGTTTCAGGTTCTTTACCAGGTTCTTGTAAATCTAATAAGTTTGTGATATATACCGATGTTAGTAAATTTTTAGATTGGATTTATGCATTTATAATTTAAATTTTAATGTTCAATTATTTGTAATAGGTATATAGTATATTGTTTTTAGACTACTATTATTATTTTAAAAATCATTATTATATGTATTAAGAATAGATTAAATTAATTTTTGATACAATTAAGAAATTATAATTTTGACCAAACTGTAAACTATAATTGTCTAGCTGGAATAGATATATGTATATATATATTTTTTATAAACTTATAAATGCTTATTAAACTTGTAATTTAGAAATAATTATGAAATAAATTTAGTTAAAAAAATATGTATTTTCATAAATTTGGTTAAAATTACGTTTGCTAAAAGGTTTTTTTTATCAATGAAATGTATACCTATATAATTATTCTTAATTTTGATATAATACAGAAATATTTAAAATAAATTTTTAATTTAATTGGGTTTACAACAAAAAATGCGTAGGTGTGTTTAAACATTTTCTTAAATTATAAACAGTTTTTTTTTATTTATTATATATATAAATAAATTTATAACATAAGTGTAGTACAAGTACATTATTCCATTTTATAATTAATATTCATATTATCTCCGAGGTCTTTAATTATTTTAATTTTAATCTTAATTTTAGACATCAAATGAATTTATTTTCCCAAAAAAATACGTCAAATAATCTTCTATTCTAAGTAAGATGACTAATCTGTTGATTTAATAAAAAAATGTACATAGCTACGTTTTTTTTTTTAAATATATTTTCAATCCCCCACAACTTAATATCTTAAAAATTTATTTTATTGCATTAAATAATAATTAATAATTAAATTTAAAAAATAAAATTATGTTAATATGTATAACATTGTACACATGTTTAATTAAATAAAATAAATATAACTACTTGTATATTTATTCTATCTGAAATTTATTTTATAAATGTGATAAAGACCAGAAGGTGAGATACGATTTGAAAAAAAAAAAATAATTATTATTTTATTTTTTCTTACAAATCATTTTTACCTTTTAAGATTAAATGGGAATTAAACTTTAATTTTTAAACAGAATAATATAGTACACATGCATTTATACAAAAATATTATTTAGTTATTTCCTTTCATAAATTAAAATTGTTTTATTTTTTACATGAAATTTCCGAAAAATTATAGATAACGATACTACAGAGAAACAGGTTATAAGACGTCTGGAATATTTGTGTTTATAATGGAATTTAATTTCTTGGAAATATTTTTAGTTGGAAAAAAATTAATTTTATTAATTTAATTATCATAAAAATTATAATATTAAAATTTTTATTTGGTTTTTTTCTTTATAATTGACTTATTTTTTTTTCAAAAATTTTGTTCGTTAAAGTCATAACAGTTGGACCAAAGTGGTTTTTGCACCAATAAAAATTTAATATATTTAACATTCGTTTTAGAATTGTATTAAATAATAATTCATATGGTTACATTGCATAAAAAATTTATGAAAATAAATGTAAAGTATGTTTTATGAATGAATATAGAGCAGTAGTTGTTGAAGATTTTATTAAAGCACATTTAAATAATAAAGCCACATGATAGCTCGTGTATAGTCCTTTGCACAGACTTTCCTTTGAAGTAAAAAATTAGTACTGTGAACTTTTTTTGATATAAATTTGGAATCTAATGATTGACTAATGATTTATTTTAACCAATCCTATATATTTACAATACTATGTAATTACATATATAATTTATCATTTATCATTTATGTTTTTATTTTTTATATGACACGTTCGTACCTTAAAAATATTGTTCATAAGTCATAAGTATTAGAAATAATGTCATTGTACAAATAGTAAATGTAATTGAAGGCATTTTTTTTCCAAATTTCGTGGATTTTAAATGCTTATATGTATTTAAAAGTAAATAATTTTGAAATTGAAATATTATAATATAGTCTTTTTTTTCGCTTTAAATAAAATTTAATATTATAAATCATACACAATAATAGTTAGTATTGAGTGTTATACGTACATAATAATATTGATGATAAGAATCTTGAGTGCTAAATAGTATTATGAATGAAGTATAAATTAGCAACTTTATATGCAAATAAGTAAACATTTATTTTGGGATTTTCTTGTTTAATTTCAATTTTTTCAGGCATGCAAAACATACAACAATTTAACAAAAATTTTAAAATAATTATATCAGATATATACTAAATATTATTTATTTTTAGTTGTATAAGAAACATTGTATGAGTTTTACAAATTAGTACATTAAGCATAAATCAAATAAATAAAAATTTTAAAATAAATTTTGTATCAGTTTGTTCATTTATTTTCTATATAATAAATTACAAGGTTAAAACTTTAACTATATTATGAATATTTATTTAAAAGAAATTCATTTTAGTTCAAAAATCATATTTAATATGTACTATGAAAGTTTTTTAATTATAAGAAACTAAATGTGAATATTTATTACAAATACAAATATACAAATAAACAGAAATATTTATTAGAAATATGTTTACAATATGGGTGCATTAAATATAAATATGTATAAATTATATTAAGTAATAAAAATTGTTTAATATAATTCAATTATAGTCTGTACATTATTGGCTAATAAAATGAAGCCTTTATTTTTATATTATAAAATTTTTTAATTAAATAATGAATCTTATTGAGAATTTTATGTTTTAAATTAATTTTGAATTGATCGAGAGAGATACAATTAGCACAGATGAAATTTTTAAATTCAAGAATTCAAGATGAATAAACCTTACTCATAATAATGTTCAGTTTAATAAATTTAGTTATATTCAATATACAATCTTTACCGATTATTTATAGTCTATATAGAAGTGTTATTAATTGGAAAATCTGCGCAGTTTGGGTATGTTCAATAGTGCAAATAAAATACCAATTTTTTTTATGAATTCATTTTAAAAATCTTATACTTAATTAAATTTAATTTAATTATCATATCTCTTTTGTTCTAAAGAATATATTGCTTTTTTTTTTTTTTAATTTAACAAATTATTTGTATTATAAAATGTATTTGTACAATAATTTTTGGATTTTTAGTTTTTCTATCTTGTTGCTAAATAATATTATTTTCTTTTCTACGTGTTTAAAATTCTTAAAATGAAAAATATTTTTGTTTTGAAAGAACTAAACACTTTATCTAAAAACTATTTATAAAAGTTTAATTTTCATTTATTTAATTATATAAATATTTAAAGAAATTAATTTTTTTTTTGCGAATTTGCTATTTCAATTTCAAAAACAAAAAAAATTTTTTTTACAGAGATTTCTTGGTCTTTGAAATATTGTATTAATAAATATTTAATTCATTTTGAAAATTTTTCTTATAGTAAATATTAGAAATTTTAGAAATAATAGAATTAAACATTAGAAAGCTATTCATAAAAATTGTTATATGTATGTTTTTTAAATTTTAATATTAAAATCAGGCACGCATGAGTAACTTACATGATAAAAATTATAACAGAGAAACCAAATAACACTTGTTTTATTAATTCTAGTTCTGTAAAATTTACAAAAAATTTTAAATATTTTACAGGACGATACTAGTTTTTATTTGTTTTATTTTCTTAAATGTTCTAATTACTTATATTTTGATACTTAATGCTAATTAAGAAGTAGTACAATTTTATTATTCATATATTACGTTAAAATAACTTCTAAATTAAATCATAAATTAATAGATTTGGGGTGAAATTTTAGGTTCATTTAATTTAATTTTTTTATTTGGTTATTTTTATGAATCATTTTTTATTTACATATTTTTTTTTACCATAAATGATGGCATGATTTAAGAAGAAAGATTCAAAAGTTTTGAATTTTAATTATGATTTAAATGAAATTTCTTTTGAGAAGAATTTATTTTCGAGTAAAATTATATTATGCCTAATAAAGTAGCAAATATAAATATTAACTAACATTTAAAATACAACCATTCATACTACTATTAAAAAAATTAAAAAACAAGCTCAATATAGAATTCAAGAGAAAATATAAATTTTTTGAATATGATGGACAATTTTTTTTTAATTATGTATTTAATTTTATACTGAATATTTTTAAGCTTACGCTCTAGTTTCTAGATTAAAATCTATTTAATTTTATTATATTAAACAATTTTACATATATTTTAGACCATAGCAAAATTCCAGTCACAAAACTAACATTATTAGAACAAACTCTTCTGCAGATCAATTTACAATTTGTTTGACAACCATCGCTTAGACCACGAATTTAGGATCTTGGCAAAAGACACAATAACATATGCTATAGTCGCAAGTTAGCAACTAACAGTTTAATAAGCAACAAAATTTCTATATTAATTCTAAATTTTAGATCTGTACATTAGAATTTAATTTTCGAAAATATACCTATTATCTTTTTAGTACCCATTTTTTTTCCCAGCAACATGAATAAGATATTAAGATATTTAATTTTTTTTTTCTCCAAAATTTTATTTTAACAATATGTGACGTTTTTGCATTTTCTTATCAGAGATAATTTAAATAAAGAGGTATAAACTCCAATACAGACAGTTTTTTCTAGAAATTTTAAAAATAAACGTAAAACATAGGCTTGGTATGTTTACATCTAAAATCTATTGATCCAAAATTTTTAGCTCCACTAATAACGATCAACTTTTTCAGACAAAATCTCATATTGGAATTTAGTAAAATCAAATTTCGGCCTTATTGATATAAAAATTTTGTATTTTTATATGTAGTAATTGTATATTAATTGTAAAGTAAGATTTTATTTTTTACCTTTTATCTGCACCATTATTTTTTTTATTATTATTTACTTTTTTAATTTTCATAGCTACTTTTCTTATCAGGTGAGGCATAATATATTACACTTGGAGATTTACTTTATGCATAATTTTTTCTTTTTTTATCTTTAATAAAAGGGAAAATCATTATCATTTTTTTCATTTTATAAAGCTTACGTGTCTAAAGATATAGACGAATTTAAATATATATATATATATATAATAATTATTTGTGTACGAATGTATTTTAAAAAAAATGTTGGTATATAAGGTGAATATTTTTTTTATAAAATTTTTTCTATTTAAATTTTTCAGATAAAAACTACTTAATTTAAAAAATATTTAAATATTGCAGAACAATCTTTTCATCTCAAATTTTTTAGTCGACTTTTAAAAATTGTCTCATATTGTACTGTGTGAATTACGCATGAAAAAAAATTTGCAGAAAATTACATAGAACTTGCTAAAAAAATTATTTATCTACTGTATTTTTTTTTGTATTTTAGTTGTTTTTTTAAAATATGAGAATTTTCTGATTCAAAAGAAAAAAATAAATTCAATATTTATATATAAGAAAATAATTATATTAAGATTAATTAACACTTTCATTTAAAAATAGTTTCTGAACGTTTTCTTGTTGTTTTCTTTTACAATTTGTAAAAACTTTTTTATAATAAATTTATCAATCATTTTTTAGTCACATAACGAATATAAGTGAGTTAAGACGTCCAGTCACTAAAAAATAAAAGAAAAAAAAAAATTCGGTCAAAAATTAAAAAAAATATATTTAAATTTATAAATAAGGAATTGTGATAAAGATATAATAAAATTAAATAAAATTAATAAAATAAATAAAAAATTAATATAAAATACTTTTAATATAAAAATTAATTATAATAATTTTAATTAAATTAAAAAAAAAAACACAAATCAGAATGTCTATAAAATTAACAATTTTAATGATAGTGATTTTACAAATAATTAATTTAACAATACAAGATAAACCATATCAAGTAATAATATGGTTAAAAAATGATTATTATAAAAAACCAATTGGTAAACCATTATGTAATGGTATTGTTATACATGAACGTTTAATATTAACAACAGCAACATGTTTACGTAATACAACAAATATATTAAATAATAATAATAATAATAATATAAATTCTGATAATGAAGATAATGAAAATATTATAAATACAACAAATTTAACAAAACCAGCTGTAATTGAATTAACAACAACTGAATCAAATACATTATCATCATCAACAAATAATAATAATTTAAAATTTATACAATTAAATGCGTCTGATATTATAATATTAGGTGGTAATTATAATATTAATACACAAAATCAAAAACCAATTATAAGTAATATATCAGAAATTGAAATTGTTAATAATTTTAATTTAACAACATTAGAAAATGATATTGCATTATTAAATTTAAATGAATCATTACCATTATCAATGAGACGTGATATACAATGGATTAGTTTAGATGATCATACAGCATATAAAAATACATCATGTAAAATAAGTTTTTCAAATTTTATGGTAAGTTTTTGATAATTAAAAATTTTAAAATATTTAAATACCTATATGAGTTAGCAAAATGATCTAAAATATTAACATTTGGAAATTTATTAAAAATGTAGCTACTTGTAGGTATTCTTACAATAGCAGAAATATTTTAAACTTATAATTTATACTTTATACCAAAGCAAAGGGCACTAATTTTTAAATTAGATTTCAGATGACTATATCAAATATCAAAATTTCTTTTAGATTTATATCGAAAAAAAATGTTTGTATGAAATTTACATTTTCTTGCACTTGATTTTACATCTTTATAAACTATCTTTTCTTACATTATGGGGCAGATTTCTGTATTTGTTTATTTTAGTTAAATAAATAAAGTAAAACTGTATACTATTATATTAATCTACGGTATTGTTTGCTCACAAATAATCTATGAAAATAGTTTTATTTGTTTGAAAAAAAAAAAAATTACATAAAATTTATAGTTTATGTAAAGAAAGGCTAATTAAAGAAAAACTAATGTAATTAAGTGCATTAAACACACATAGAAAAGGTATAAGCAGAAAATTATAATTTTTTTGTTCTATATATATAAAAAAAATCTAATAAAATGAAATTGTAAAGTGTATTTATAACTTTATGATACTATTATATTTTGACCTTACTATAATTGCGATTACGAATTAGTTTACTTTATGTAAAGGTTTTGTTGAATAATACTCAAAGAGTAAAATATTAAGTAGAATAAAAATTAATTTTGTAAATCCAAAAAAAATATTATCAAATTGATGTATTTAATTAAATTGTATTCCAAAAAATAAAAATCAATTTCATGTGTGGAATTATATATTCATTCTGTTCCAGTACGAATTGAAACCTTTCTGGCTGGTGCACTATTATATGATAAAATCAGAAATATTTATGTTCTTTACTGTGCAGAGACCATTACTACAGATGAATTCTTAATACTTCAATGAGGCACTTAGTTCGTTTATTGTTATAAATATTAAAAATAGCAATACATAGTAGCCAGAAAGAATTTAGTTTCGATGTTTTTGGATATTCAAAGGTGTTATGTCCTACACAATCTATTTTGGCCACTATTATTTAATTGTTGTAATGCGCTATAATTTTAAAAACTGTTAGAGTTCTCTGGATTAAAATTAAATTTTACTGCATTATAGAAACAAAATAATTAATAAAAAATAATTTTGCAATTACACTAACTAGATTTAATAAACTTTAATAAATGAAAAAAAAAATTTAATTAACTAATTTTAGACAAAGAATACCCAGGAAACTTTTACTGTTAAACTAATGAACAATCAGAATTGTACAAATGCAACAAATTTTAAATCAACTAGGAAGAGTGATATTTGTTCATTATACGTAAATCCATCCATTTGTAATGTAAGTATTATCATTTTACTAAAATATGAAAAAATTAAATAATTTTGATTTTATTGAATTCTTATTTAATTTAAAATTCTCTTACAGCTTTCAGATAACCATTTGATGACTAGTGATGATCGTGGTACTGGTTTAGTATGCGATAGCAAATTAATTGGAATTTTATCACAAATAATACCAATTGATAATGAAACTGAATGTTCAAATTTTAAACCATTTAAAGCAATTTATACACGTGTTGCAAATCATTTAAATTGGATTTATGAAAAAATTGCTATTGAAAGTATGGCTGATTTAGGTAAATCAAATTATATTTTAGCACCACAATATAAAGAATCAGCACCATCACCAAGTATTCATATGCCACGTAAGTTTTTTTTGAATAATTTTCTCCATCTTGCTTTCAAATGATTTTGTATGACAATATGATAATATAATATTTTTTTTTTGTTTTGTAGAAGAACCACAATTATTAGAAAAATCTTCATCAACCCCAGTTGTTAGTATGAGTACCGATCGTACTATAAAAACTTCACAAGATATTGATAGTTCTTTGCCATCGAATTTTGAAAATCGTACAGGAACTGAAACAAAAACAAATAATAAATCTGAAACTCAAACAACAAAAACTGGTCTTGGTAAATCAATTGGAGTTCTATCGAAAACAATTTGTTTGCCAGCACTTTCAATATCAATTATAATATCAGTTTTAATATCAAAATATTAGATTTAAATTTTCAATTATTATTTTAAATATATTGTATGTATGTACGCATTAAATTTTAATTACATAATTTAAGTATTTTGCTTGTAGTCTCTCAATATTAATTTCTATAATAATATTATATAAAATTCAATAGATTATTTTAAAAAAATTAAGTTAGTTAAAAACAATAAAAAAACAATAAAGTGATACGACACCATTTATAAATACAATTAGTAAAAAGATTTAATAAAAAAGACACCATTAAACAAAATTTTATTAAAAAAACGTTCTATGTTTACTCTATGTATTTTTCTTCTTTTTTTTCTTTAAATACGGTGCCTTATATTTACTTTAGATTTAAATTTACTTAATATTAAGGTTATTTTATTTATTAAGAAAAAAATTAAAAAAGCTTTCTTAAATTTTTCCACTTTATTAATATTATTTTTATTTTTTTTTTCAAGTCGCAAACAAATAAATTATGAATATAATAAAATTTTAATGTAAATAGAATTTTTGCAGTCTGAAATAATTTTTATTTTTCAAACACAAAAAAAAAAAATTTAATGCAAACTTTATTTACAAAAGAATTATAATTTTTATGATAAAAATGTAAAAGTGTTAATACTTTGATTTATTTTATAATCTTAATGTAAATTGTTTAATTTGTCGAATATGTCAGTACAACATCCATTGTAAAGTTCAAAATTAAGATTGTAAATTTGACTTGTAACAAGTAACTGATGAAGATGCATACACCTTGATATTTACCAGATTTAACTAGAACATCAATAAAAATTTATTTGTTATTCATGATGTAGAAGTTGTTTTTGCTTTTATATTTATGTACTTTTATTAATAACTGATGTTTTTCAGAAAATTCTGATGGTATATTTAAAATTATTTTGAGTAAAAAGACTGGTAAACGCTATATTTATTTAAAAATAAATGTATGACTTTAGTTTGATCATGTAAAAATATTTTGATGAAAGTAATCTAATCACCTGTACCCTGATATGCCTTGATATTATTGGGGGTTGTTATTCAAAAATTATGTAATTTTCTCAATAAAATAAATTTCAGAATTTAAAATTCTATACTGAAAATCAAAATATTTTTCAATAATATCCCATAAACTCAAGTATGTATTGCGATTAATAGAATATTGATGAAGGTTAATCTTGAATATTGATTGCTAAAATCTGGAATATTGATATTGGTTTGATTGCTGTAACCAATAAATTCCTTTTTATTCAATTAACCTATTGCATTGAATCATAAATTTGGGATTCTGTAAAAATTATAGAATCCGTATTAATAGACTTAAGTTCTGCATAAAAAAAAGGATAAGGTGTTATTTTCCTAACACCTTATCCTTTGAGGTCAGTTGTTACCGTTAATTTTTTATGTAAATCAATAATTTAATAGTTCTAATAATTTTTGAAAGGAAGCCAATAATTGTCTAAATTAAGAAAATAGTGCGTACCTATGCGTTTTTCTTTAAAATCAACTCAACACCTGAAATATATAGTCAATTATTTTCATCGTCTACAAAAAAAAAATGTATTAAATAAATATGTACACATAATTATTATTATAATATTTAATTATCGTAAAATTATTAGAGCTATAATAAAAAGACATAAATGGTAAATAGAAAGTTAATGTTATTTTATGACTTTTTGCTACCAAATTTTTTATTTAAAATATTCTTAAATTCTCTGAACAAATAATTATAGAGATTAAATAATGTAAACAATATGCTTATGGCATTGTTTTCTTCTAAATATTTCTTCATAGAATTTTAGAATACGCAACTTTGTCATATTATCTTAGTTATTTATTATCAGTAAGAATAAATTAAAGACATTAAGATTGTTGAACCCAATATACGCAAATACATATTTTATGTGAGATAAATCATTGCCAAGAGCATTAAAGCAAAAAAAAAAGTTCTTATAGATTTATTAGATTTAAATTAATTATTAATTTTACTTTAATTTTGCAATATTTACAATATGAAATACTTATTGCAAATTATTACTAAGTCCCTATAATAAATCAAACGTAGATTGAATACATACTAAAATCTTCTCAATAAGAAGTAGTTTCTCAAATGAAACCAGTGTTCATTACCTACCAACATATACATACATACATATATAGTTTTATTACATACATATTTATTCCAACATTATTTTGGTAATGGCACAGATTCCCTGACACTTTAAAATTGTAGCAATTATTAACTATTAACACACATTCTTCTGTTTTAATTGTTAAATTGTCTAGCAGCAATTACTCTACGTTGTACAAATATGTACATTTTGTGTTTTAAAATCCTTAATCATTTTTACATCAAGTGCTATTGATTAGATGCACATACATATATATACATATGTATATAATTAGCTGTAAAAATCCATTAGATTACAATTTAAAGGAAAGCAACTTACATTCCGACTCTTTCCTGTTTTCCAAAACAATTTCAACATCATGTTTACTCTCTTTTCATGATGCAATAAATATTTCTTTTCATTATATTTTTATTTTCATAACTGTTTTCAAGAAAAGCTGAACTCAGAGTTTGCAATAATAAGTTTTATTTAAAGAAGATTCTTCAAATTTTTCTGGCTGTTAAAATAATTTAAATATGAAATTACAAAAGGCTGTTCCCTTCAAAATACATATTACAAAAAATCCTTTTGTATTTTAGGATATTTTTCATTCACAATAACGAAATTTTATTTTAGAAAAAAAAGTTGTCATAAAGCAGTATTTTTCAAACTTTTAAGTCAAACTCAAAACGTCAAGAATCTATGTGTGTTTTGTGTTATGTGTATTCTATTTTTCTTAATCTCGAAGTAATCGGCAAAAGAATTTAGTCTGGCTTTAATTCAAAGATTTTTTAGAAATTCTAAAAATATATTTCATTTTACATCAATAAGAAGTATAACTGATTTTTATAATATGGAGGCAAGACATTTAGAAAATCCGTTTCCAGACTATGATGGTGGTAAAGAAAGATTAGAAGTTAATAGCGAAAAAGTAAGAAATTTGATATGTGATTATGTTGACGCTATTTTGGAAAATACGAAACCGGGTTCAGCAGATGAGGATACAAGAGGTGATCTTTATGTTGGAAATGCAGGTAATTTTGAAAAAATTAAAAAATTTTTAAGTAATAAAAAAAGTTTAAATTTATTAATTCAATAGGTATAGCCTACATGTTCTATAAACTTGCGAAATCTAATCATACGGGAGATTTGTATCCAGCATTAGATCATGCCCAAGGTTATATAAGAAACTCTAAAGCAAATGCATTGCGTTATAAAAAGCGAGCCGATGAAAGGGTAGCATTTCTTTGCGGAAATTCTGGAATTTATGCCGTTTCTGCTGCTGTATCTCAAGCAGTTGGTGATCAACGTCAACTTACTGAAGATGTAAATAATTTTTTGGCTGGCTACGAACCTGCATTACAAATTGCTTTTACAAGACATGGATGCGATGAAGTTCTTGTTGGTAGAGCCGGTTATTTAACAGGTTGCTATTGGTTAAATGACATCTTGAAAACAAAAGCTGTATCGGACGATAAACTTGAAACAATTTGCAAAGTTGTTATTGAGAGTGGAAGACAATATTCAAAGGAGACGAGAGCACCTTTACCGTTGATGTATCAATATCATGGTACTGAGTATTTAGGTGCTGCTCATGGGTTAAGTGCTATTCTCCACGTTTTACTGGATTCTCCGTGGTTTAAAAGTGATCTTTCGAAAGTGCCGTCAGACATCTTAAATGATGTAAAAGCATCGGTTGATTTTTACTTAAGTTTACAAGATGCAGAGGGCAATTTTCCAGTTGCTTTAGAAGATTTGAAGCGTGGGAGAGAAAAACGTTTGGTACATTGGTGTCATGGTGCACCGGGAGCGGTATATCTTTTAGCTAAAGCATATTTAATATTTAAAGAAGACAAATATTTGAGAGCATGTAAAAAAGCATCTGATTTGGTATGGCAAAAAGGATTATTAAGAAAAGGACCTGGTATTTGTCATGGGGTAGCTGGAAGCGGATACGTATTTTTGTTGCTTTATAGATTAACTGAAGAAGAAAAATATTTATACCGTGCAGTTAAATTTATGGAATATCTTACTAATTCTGAATTTAAATTGAAGGCTAGAATACCAGATAGACCATTCAGTTTATATGAAGGTGTTGCTGGAACTGTTTGTTTCTTGATAGATCTTTTAGATCCGAAAAACGCACATTTTCCGTTTATGGAAGTTTTCCATTGAATTTTCAAATAGCTTTTGTATATTATGAGCTTTAAATTTTCTGAGTGAATGATTTACCTTTAAAATATTAATAAAACAAAATAAAAAAAGTCTGATACAGAAAACATTTATATTTGATACATGTAGATGTGTAAGAATTAAATTATAAATATGAATATACTCGCAACAAGAAAATTCGCTTTGTAAGGCTTTGGTTTGTACTTATGTAGTATATTGGGAAAAAGTTTGTTTGGCTTCGCATATGAAATGAAATCAACATTGTACCTTCTATATATAGTCAAAATATTTGATCAAAATTTTGAAAGAAATTAACTTATTATATTCGATAATTATTATTATGTAGAATTATAATCTCAATATTAAATTATGATCTTTTATGATAATAATATTTCATTTAATAAAGTTTAACCTTAATTGTCATTAGCTAAAATTTGTACAATTTTATTCAAAGTCTTCTGATTTCAGTACTCCATAAAACAGTTGTAAGCTTATTTATGTCTACATAATGGGTTTACAATATTTAAACAACATTTTGTCAATGTTTCCTATTTTTATTCTCTAAATTTATTTAAAACTTAGGTAATAATATTTTAATAATTTAATTTTAAGTAAATAATTTAAAATTTTTTGAATAGGTATAAATAATTTAAAAAAGCTCAACTAAGTAGACAAACAATAAGAAAATTATAAATATAGAATAACTCTCTATACTAAGAACTACAAAAAATCTTGTTAAGAATTTTGAAAATACTGGAGAGGCTCTGGAGTTGTCATTTGATGATGATGCAAATGGTGATGATGATTATGTGGATGATGACCTAAATGATAATGTTGATCACTGCTGTGATGATAATAGATATCATTTGAATTATCATACATTCCGGGAACACCTAAATAAGCGGCTGCTGTTACAGAGGCAGGATTACTGTTATGAATTGCTGTTGTTGCAGAAGGATTTGGATCATAAAAATTATTTGATACCATGGAATTAACGTGATATTCAAAATAGTTATCAGTGGAATTGGAGTTATTGTTACCATTTGTTGTAGCATTTGCTATAGAATGATGTTCTGATTCTATGTTTCGATTGGTATCATTAATATTATCATTATAGGGCGTGTCATATGAAACGAAATCGCTTGATGAAGATGAATTTTTTTTACTAATATTATAGTTTTTTTTCAATGATGATAATTCAGGTTTAGTCGAGTTATAATTGATCTGATTAATTTGAGAATAATTTATAAATTCAGATTGCTGTATATCATTTGTTGGTATAGTATTTTCGGAGTTAGAATCTGCTAAAGTATTAATTGTATATTCGTAAACAGGACTGTTATTATCACTATAAAAATTGACACCATTATATGAATTTGATAATCTAGGATGATGATGATGGTGATGAGCAAGATGTGATTGTAAATTCTCATTGTAGGCGATATTATGATTATTAATATTGTTATTACTATAATGACTCGATGGACTTAAATACTTCTCCTGACATGGTGCATAGTAATCTGATGGTGGTTTTGAATTACTTGAGCCTAATTCTAATAAAATTTGTTGAGATGGAATGGAACTCTCTTGATAATCCTCATTTTTAATGTTGGCTAGAGGAAAATATTGAACTGCAGATTGTGATGCAGTACTTGTTGTACCTGCTGCTGCAACGGCAGGATTTGTATAAAAGTTTGAATGCCTTTGTAGCTCCTCGGTATTTGGGATCGGTGGGATAACATGATGGTGATGATAGTTGTTGGTTATTTGTTGATATATTGTGAAATTATTATTATCTGATTTGAAAGTCGCGTTGTTGCTTTGTTTAACAGGATGAACTATTGTAAGACATGATGAACAACCATAATTTGAACAACGAATACAACCTAAAAACAAAACTCTTATTAAAATAAAGTACCTATTATGATATTGAATCAAAATAAAATTTAAATACCATTAAAATTACTGCTAGCCATTTGTTGCACTTCATTATTACGTTTATAATTCTTTGATTGACGTAGTGTAGCTGTAAACTGTGTAGATAGAAGAACAAGTTATAAAATTAATAAATAATTGTTTGTATTAATTTATTTTACCTTATTATTTCCTAAATTAATATCCTTAGCTAAATATGCTGCTAAACTTTTAGATTTTCTACCAGTTCCAGTTGTACTGAACGCTCTACGAGATTCTGTTGAATTTTTTGGTTCTGGTTTTGGATGATCATGTAATCCTTTAGCTTGAAAAAATATTGCATTACCGGAATGACGCCAAAAATGTGTAACAGGATAACCGCAATGTCCACGGCATGGTTTAATTTCTAAACGACCACCACGACATGTTTTATTTGGGCAAGGTCGACCTTGTTGTTTTCTTCTTGCTTTATCACATATTGCTGGACGTAAATGAATTTTTGTACCACTTGGTGTTGTACAATTTTGTGAACAAACCAATACACCTAAGCAACTTTTTTTTAATATATTAACATTATGATTATTTGTATTACGCATTGCCCATCCTGATGTATGTTTTTTAGCTTCTTCACATTTAATTGAATATATTAAACGTACATGACCATCTGACCATTCTTGAAACGAATCAAATTCATTATGATCTGTAACATTTGGTACAGTTGTATCATTAATATCCCATTCTCGAATCGATGTTGATTTTTTCATTTTACCTATATTCTGGTAGAAATTTCTGGAAAAAAAATTAAGTATGTAAATGTTTTAATGTGTGAATAAATTAATTTATAAATAAAAATAGAATAATGTGTAATAAACAAATGTAATTCAATATTAAGGGAAATTACAAGTTTCATTATTTTGAATATTATAAATATTTTTGAGTACATTTTAGAAGGATCCAGATTATATTGATTGTTGGTAAAAAGGATATTTTAAAATTTTAATATTCTCAAATTGAGTTGCATTCGAAAATCAAAAATCTTAACTTTTGAGACAACAGTATGGCCGACGGCAGTTTTCAAACCAAAAGGTAGTAAACAAACACATGGTATTAAAGGTATAATGGATTTGTTTTTTTAGTTTTACAATGTGAAATTAATTTTAAATAACAATATTTCTTTAATAACTTCTTATATGAATTTAAATTAAATTCGATCAAACCAAATATAATAATAACGTGTACCTAAATATAAAAATATTTATTTTAAAAGTTTATGAGACCCAAAAATGGTAGCGGGTTTATTAATAAAATATCCGAATGAAAATTTTTTTTTTGATTTAAAATTAAATCAAAATTTTTAGCAATTAACACACCTATCATCACTTACATTATTTATTATATTAATAACAATAAACTGTTTGAAAGAATCATTTTAATTTTTTTTTAATATTTTAAAAAGACATGACAAAAAAAAAATGGTTACAAAACTACAATGGTGTCTTTTTGCGTGGTTTAAAAATTAAAGTGTTAAAGATTTGTAATTCTTTTGTGTATAAGTATGTTGATAAAAATTAAAAAAAAAAACGAAAAAAAAATAAATCCGAAAAGACCTACATGAATTCAAAAATTTTTTTTGCTTTCTTTTCAAATAAAATAGCATGAAAAAATTAATAGGGCTATTACTGTTACTATTAGGCTACTTAAAAAATAAATTCAATTCAAAAATAAAGAAAGAAAATAATAAACGCGTTTATAAATGCGTTTATATTTTTCCTATTATTTTCTTTTTATAATAAACATGGTAATTAAATCATACTGAAATTAATAAATTAGAAAGATAAACACTTTAAATGTATGCACATGTGTGTATATTCAGAGTATATGAACTGTATGTTATAAATTTTTGAATATTAATGAACGGTGGTCGTCGTATAGCTCTATGTTTATTTTTTTTATAAAATTAATGTGATAATGGTACTTATTCTCTCTGTGGGCTTCTCGACGATGTCTACCGATATTGTTATCTTATATTTGCCATCTAAAAATTAAATGAAATTTTAAAGGTTATATTGATTGATGTTATTTATTCGTTTTATGTATGTAATAAGGTGGGTTCCACGTAAGCAATTGAATATTAAAGAAGGATGTTTTATCATTTTCATTAATTCGTATTTTAAAAAACTTAAATAATTTTAACAGTCAAAGAAATTGTTTATGTGAAAACTTCAAATCTTATGCTTGTAGTAAGTAAATAACAGTTTTGCAGATGTAAAACTGAAACTGCAACATCGCAACATATTTCAGTGTTTCTCAAAATATTATTTTGCAGTAATTTCTTTTAAAATGCTTATTTAAATTGTCAAAAATATTTTTTAACTAACTGTTTTTCGTGACCAAAAATTTAGAAAATAGCAAATTATTACAAATGATGATTAAATTTTGAATCAAAAAGCAAAGAAGTTTAGAGATGGCTTGGCTAAATTGATGGATTAATTAAGTTGAACAAGAGTGTAAAAAATAAAAAAAGAGGATAAACAATTAAATAAAGAATAAAACATCGTTTGCTGTTACAATTATAATGAGAAGAATTGAGTACACCTTGATACTAGAATAATATCCACAATCCTTGTACAATAATGTAAGATAAGATGATTGGAATGGAAAGATATTGAATTCGAAGCCCGATTTCAGAAAATATTAATAAGAAAGAATTGCTAACATTTAATTTCATGAAATTATACAGATCTAAGGTGTACTTAAAGTATTAGATAAGTATTTGAGTTATCTTTTCCTATTTTATAATGTAATGTTAAGAAATTATATGTCGTTTTTTAGAGAAATCTATTGGGAGCAACTATTTCAATATAAGTATATCAATGTATAACAATACTTAAACATTGTGTGCCAAATCGGTGTTAAATTTTAGATTAAATAATGGGAACACAATTAAACTTTTTTCTAACATTGTTTTACCAAAAGCAAAATTACACAGGTAAGTTATTTGAAACAATTTTTAAAATTCTCATTATGATTTTAGGTAATAAACATATTAGCGTATACTGTTATCAAAATAATTGAAACATGAAGTTATAGTCATCATTTGAAATATTAGTATGTAATTAAATTTTAATGAATTCGCAATAGGTACCTGTCCTTAATCAAAGTCAATACATTTAAATTAATATTCATTTTTATTAATTACGTGTTAATAAATTTAGAGTCCTTTAGTTATTAAATTCTGCCAATTCAAAATGTTAATAAATTAAAATAAGTTTAGTTGTAAATAAGCTTAAGTAGCTGCTTTTTGTAATGGTTTATATCCAGATATTTTAAGAACCCATTATTACTCGAGATTATTTGGTAAAATATAATTATTGGTTTTGTGCAAAAGCATCTCATCGTGTCATTAGCTTTTTATTGTACATACAATGTGAAAATTTTACAATAAAATTGTGTACAAATAGACATAAATTTTCTAAATCGTGTTTTTAGTACTTTTATATTTTCGATAAACATTTTTAG